AATAACATATTTGCAACTGCGAGTTGCAGGCTATGGTGTGTATGTGCAGGGATACGTGTTAGGCAGCCTTAATAACTATACTAGTATACCTCTTCTATGCAAGTAAGGGGCACATGCAGCCGAACATATTAATACGTAACTAAAGTACACAAGGCTAGAGAATTCATCCCTGTATTATGCATGCATACAAAGATCAACATCATTCCTCTGTTCTTGCTTAACCCCCAATGTATCTTCTTGTATATAAATAAATAAATAAAATCTCCGTAACCAGCATTTAATCTGAATTGTGTATCCGAGGGAAGATTATTAAAATTAGAAGTGGTTGCCCAAGCATCGACTAATTTGTTTGCTCTGTGTAGCCCACAAGATGGGTATTGGGTGCATAATAAATGAACTAAACTAATTCTTTGTAGAGGGCGAGGGTGTGACAACAATCTACCTGTTGGTAACCCTTAAATAATAAGATTAAAATATATACAATACAATACAATAATATACAGGAGATGCCCATAGGGCGAGCCTTGAAGTGGGGACAGCTGAAGAGAAGTCGGTGAGAGGAAACGCTGAAGTTGTAGAGAAAAGTGCCCAGCTGCGTGTCTTAAGTCGATGCTGAAACAACCCCTCAACTGGCTAGGCTTTGAGTCGGGGCATGAAGGCGGCAGTGGCAGTTCTTCTTCATTCTAGGTGGTGACAGTCTGTCTTCTGATGGTGCCTTCGTTCTTGAGTCTTCTTTCTTCTACTTCTTCTTGCTTCTGGTAATCATTTGATGATGTTTCTTGTACTCGACGAAGTCCTTGGGGAAAAGTTCGAGGTCCAGTGTGGATTCGTCACAGTCCCCAAGGATGACATCTGCTTTAATCCAGCAATCCTTCTTTTCTGGCTCAGTCTGCAAGTATTCTTCATAGCTCTTGTTGTATATACGGCTGGTGAGCCGTCTGTACTCAGGACATCCAGCTATAGTGTTCTAACGTTGTAGTTGTAGTTCCATGACTGCTTGAGAGTCACTAGTACTGTATATGCTGGTTCTGGGGGAGGTAAATGTTCTTCATTGTCAACAGAGGCAGTAGAGTTATCATCGGAAGACAAGTGGAGGTCTGCAGAAGCATCAGGTGTAGGTGCCGGTGAAGCTGGTGTAGCCACAGGTTCAACCGGATGGTTGGTCTGGAGTGACAGTGTGCAAAGACGTTGCAGGATCTGTAGCAGGTTGCAGAGATTGGGCGTCAGCCAACAGGAGACCCGCCAGTGCAGCTGGAGAGATGGTGATATCAGAGCCTGAAGTGGTATTAGTAGCTGAAATCATAGAGGTGGCAGTGGCTGGAGCTGTAGTTGTGAAGAGTTCCTCAGGAATTTTGAATGTTAACTGGCGTAGAGTATGTTTAGAATTCGTACGAATTCCTTGCAGTTCGTGCCTGCAATCATTTCAGCAGTGCGGATGAGTCCGAAGATAGTACTATGAGCGATGTTGGGGGACAGCAGCTGGTGTGGTGAAGGCTGGTTCGTTGATTGCCCAGAGAGAGGTGGTGGCTGTGGTGGCAGAGTGAGGTGGAGTCATTGAATGATTGGCGGACAGGGAGCGAGGCCCAACAATGGCTAGAAAGGCTGTGTAGAAGCTGCGCCCCCACCCGGAAGCGCAGGGAAGTTGGTGGCTTGCACGTTGAACGTTGATGGTTCACGACGAGTGGTGTTGGCTTGCCTGGCGTCAGACATCTTCTGTATTTCCGCACGTCTTCGAGGGCACCTTGGCAGAGAAGGCAGTATGGCCACCTTGGCAGAGAAGGCAATATGGCCACCTTGGCAGAGAAGGTAGTATGGCCACCTTGGTAGAGAAGGCATTTGAGGAAGTCGTTTGTGCATCGTTTGAAGTGGTGATTCTCGGCACACTTGCTGTACCGTTGGTCCTGAGATGGACATTGTTTCGTAAAGTGCTCGTAGCTATAGCACTGTCAAAGCCGGTAGTAGTGTTCTTTGCTGATTTGTCGGGGTGTGCAAACGATGCCGAAGCACCGGAAGCCGTTGGTAGTAGCAGAGGTAGCATCCTCAGGCGAGGTGAAGGTGACCTTCATGGTGGAGAGGTGGGTGTCCTGCACAGTAATGAACTTTACAGAGACAACAATCAAGGAAGGATTCTGTTCGTTTATGCTGGTGACAACGAGGGTGGCAGCTTTTTTTAGAGAGGAGGGTGCTCACTCTCCGGACAAACACCGTCCTGGCTGCGAGGTAGTGTCGTGGTGGGGTGAGGATCATGTCTGCCTCCTCGAGGGCAGTAAGGTTGGTGGGGTCAAATAGTCCCTGTACAGCTGTGGCACTGCTGAGCAACAGTTGAGGTCCTTCATCGTTGATGACGAAGTCCAGTGGTGCAACATTGGTTTTGGTGCTGATCAAATCCGAGATCTCTGACCAGGTAAGGGGTCCTGTCCCCTCTAAATTGTACCTTGATCCGGTAGATCATGGTAGCTCAATTCGTTGCTGCCCAATGTTTACCCACCCAGCAGTATGGGAGCAAGAGAGCCTTGTCTAGAAATGTTGTTGTTATTATAGATTCAGCTACTCGGAACAAGTTCCAAGTATCACGGGCTATGGTGAGCCCGTAGTGGACTTACCTGGCACAGGAGCGATGCCCCTGGTCTGGTCTAGAGAGCTGCACTTTCAGTAAGAGGTCTCCCGTTTCTTACCTCTTACTGGGTATAATGCACCGGGATCAGGGTGGGTAGGGGGGGGGAGGGGGGATCTAACCTCCTAACACAAAGTAATAAGTGTTTAAAATATGGTTGTTAAAGATATGCTACCACCTGGAACAAAGGGTTTCAGGGATATGGTGATCCTGTCTTTATCTTATTGTATATATATAAGTAAAATAAATAAAATGTGGTGTGTTATGGAAAGGTGAATATAGGTTTGATAGATAGTTATGCTCTAGTTTGGGTTTAGGGGAAGATTGGATTTGGTAATTGAATAGTGTTTAATATGATGTGGTAATAGTAGAAATAAACTATAAATAAAGGTGTTTATTATGATAGAGATACTTTATTTCTTAAAAATAAAATATTTACCCATTGATGGCGTCCGTTTTTTCTTATGGAATCATTCCTTGGTGGGATGTTATTGGGGAAACCTCGTTGTTCTGGCTGGAGCGAGTGATGTATATATCACTCAGAATTCGTTAATAAGCTTCGAAATGGAAGAATTTTATGAATACACATGAAGATTAGATGGTTATCTTTAATTTACTGTTGATATTTACCGTTGGTTGAATGTACTAACACGTAATAACGACGAAATTTGTGGTTGTAATGGGGGTTGTTGCCATATATCGACTGTTGCAATGGAGTGATCACTGTTTCACGGCAACGCAACGACAGGTTGCTCACCGAGAGTTAATTTGAAGTCTAGTTTCTTAGTTCGCTTGGCAATGGTACATTTACTTCTCTAGACAACAAGAACGTTTGTTTATGTAATTGATTTAAACAATGGATGCACACATTCATGTATATTAACTAATAAATTGGATATGGAATGAAGTCTAGTTTAATATACATGACAGTAGTCCTCAGCCGTATCACACTATGGAGTCCTATCAACACCACTTTTCATCATGGAAGACAATTTTCCGTGAAGCCCATTTATTATATTTTTACTGACTCATCAGAGTCACATTTAAGCTCTCAGTTCTGTGTGACAGTGAATACCAGCAATATCCTCACTTTAATGAGACTTTTGAAATACTCAGATGAGGCAAAATTGTCATTAAATTTGTCAATAAAGATGTTAATAATAAATAATATGTTCGGAGCTGTCCTCATTGTACAACTCATCTAATTTATAATGTTTTTTGCTGGGTTCTTCTTGTTTTTTTTTATCTGTAATATAATTTAGATATATATTAATCACATGGCAAAAAACAGCATTAAATGTAATGAAATAGCAATTATGTGAAATTAAAACAAACGGGTGAAAACAAACACCATAGGCGATATAAGTTTGTATTATTTTATATTATTAATAATAAAAAAATGCAACTGCAAGTTGCATTGAACGTTTTGCAACTGCAGTTGCTAGTAATTTGCAACTACGAGTTGCAGCCTATGGTGTGCATGTGCAGGGATACATGTTAAGCGGCTGTTGTTGTTGTTGTTATAGATTCAGCTACTCAGAACAAGTTCCAAGTAGCACGGGCTATGGTGAGCCCGTAACTTACCTGGCACAGGAGCGGGGCAAGTAGCACGGGCTAAGGTGAGCCTGTAACTTACCTGGCACAGGAGCGGGGCAAGTAGCACGGGCTATGGTGAGCTCGTAGTGGACTTACCTGGTACAGGAGCGGGGCAAGTAGCACGGGCTATGGTTAGCCTCGCCTCATCGATGTTGTTATAGATTCAGCTACTCTGAACAAGTTCCAAGTAGCACGGGATATGGTGAGCCCGTAACTTACCTGGCACAGGAGCGGGGCAAGTAGCACGGTCTATGGTGAGCCCAAAGTGGACTTACCTAGCACAGGAGCGGTGCCTATGTGTGCCTCATCGAGGCCACTAGATATATATATTTAGTGGCCCTCAGGTAAATTCGGTTATGTTAGGGTAGAATGTATAACAGTTTCATCCCTACGATTACCGATAGACAAGCTTACTCTATAATAAACCATAAACAAATTAATTTTAGATTGTTGCGCATAAATAGCAACATCAAATTATTAAGCAGAAAGGTAATCTTAAAGGATCTTTGTAGTAGTAAAATTTAGTAAAAATTATTGTTGTCGTCAAGTTAAATTTATATTTCGCGGTGCACGTCGTGGAGATCATCACAGTCAGAGTTTATATCTTCATTAAATACGGGTTATTATTAGTGAAATATTCTTAAAATTACTGATATACTCATTAAATATATATACTTTCTAATAAAACCACATTTTTATTAGAATTATTGCTTATTAATACGGCTATTGAGCCTAAATGAAGCTAAAATAATAAATATAGATAAAGACGACTCCATTACGGAAGGGGGAGAGAGAGAGCTGTGAGAGTCGCGCTCTGGCAGTACCGCCGCGCACATACACTGACCCGTGGGTCGCCCTTGTCTCCTAACTCACCCACAACAACAACATACACACAACACTTCCAGGAAGAATATATTTGTGTGAGACGACAGCCTTCACTAGCAGCCTCCGCCACAGCCCCGGCAACCACTGCAGCAGCCTTCCTCAGCACTGGTGCCTCCTGCAAGCAGGAGAGGCCTATAGGTGGTCAGGTCACGGGGTTGTATAATACAACTCATCATCTCCTTGAGTGGAATCACAACTCATCACCTCCTTGAGTGGACTCTGGGCGGTCACTATGCTGCAAGACGAGGATTTTGATTCTGATACAAGTGACGAGGATTTTGTGCCCGATGGTATGATAGTGTGTGTGTTAGTTGGTGAGGCCATTTAAAGGGCCCCTATTGTGTACGAAATTTAAATACCGGTATTTACATAAATAATAACTGTTATAAACAAATATCACATGGGTCATGATTGCAGTATAAATTGTGTGCACTCTTATAATTATTACAAAGTTGCTGTGTGAGAAATTTTTGGGCAAATTCTAAGATAAATATTAATATTTATTGCAGCTAATAGATTTAAGGCCAATACTTAATACTTTTAGATGCAACTTAACATAGATAAATGTGAATAAATATTGAGAAGTTAAGCCAATAAAATTAAATGTTTTAAGTCGATACTTTCTACTAAAAGTGCAGAGTGCTTGATTTTAGAATATGTACTTTTAGTGTACAGTAAATATTGGTTGTAATAAGTGAGAATTGTTACAATTGTATACTTGCTGTAGTTAAAGGGATAAATTTAAGAGCAAAAAATACAAAATATAAGAACTTGAGATTTATGGGGGAGTTTGTGTGAGTTTTGAGTTGGTGCAGGTAACATGTGTCCATTGTGGCTCTGCTGACCACACTGCCTCCACTAATGTGGAGGCATTTCATATATAATCCTGCATTTCATATATTATATATATATATAATATATATGTATGTATATGTATGTATGTATGTAATATTATATTATATATATAACATAATAACAAAAAATTAATGTCTAGCTTTAATATAGTTGGTTGAGTATGATGGATACCTACTACTAGTCGCATATTAATCGAAAACACAAAAATAAAAGAAAGATACTGTAATGTATCTACACTATATTAATTTTTTTGAGAATTTACCAAGACTTATAATTGCTCTACCTTAAGAGACTAAATGAAATGTATGGTCATTCGTCAACTATTGTATGGAATGTGTAATAATTTAATTGGCTCAATATTTTGTGTGAAGTTGAAGCAGAGATTACCAGTCCTGCTTGGTTTAATATATCTACCTCTGGATAATACATTCTTCCTTTTCTACTTCAGTAGAATTATCTGTATGTGAAGGGATATATAAAGGTTTTGAGGTAACATCTAATCCCATGTCAACACAGATTTAGAGTGGGTAGATCCTGCATATCACAATTATTGTACAGTACTCGACCACTTTGGTAAATTGGTAATTTTGGTAAACTCTCAGCTACTAGATAAATAATTTTATGAATACAAAAAAAAATTCAGGTAATGATAACTAATATTAACAGGTGTGGAGAGTGATGATGAACCAGTGAGTGGTGTAGAAGAGGAGGTAGATGAAACTGAAAATGACGATGACAAACGAAGCCTCGCTAAGAAGAGCACAAAAACTAAAAAAAATAAAAAAAAACGACCGGGGTCTTTGTTTGCTCAGAAACCAGATAGTACGGAAACGGGAGAGGAGCAGGATAAAGAGCTGAAGGCTGTGAATGAAGAGCAGAATAAAAAGAAAACTGATGATATATGGGCAGGTTAGTAGAAACTACTTTTTATTATATTTAGTGCTAGTTTTAGATGTCAAATTGCTTCCTAATTATTTTCCTTATCCTCAACTTTATTACTCTTCTTATGTTCATTATCATTATTTTTATTAAACATGTGTTTTATTAGTAGGTGTGAGTTGTCTGACGGCACCTTTTAGGATAAAAATGCTTAAATTCTGTAAGGTACTTATACATGACCATTACACACTGTTAACATTTTTCTGATGTAACCACATGATCACATGATACAATACCTATTGGGTATTGTATCTAATTTTATTAATTTGCTTGCTTACAACAAATTTAGATTTACTCAGGTGCTTGCACTTAATGTATACAGTATTTGTTTCTAATGTTTAAATTTTTTGTTAGGGGTTATTTTTAGTTATTTAACATATACTGTAATTTAATTTATTATTTAAAGAATTGTTCCTTAACAGATTTTCTAGCAGATGTTGAAGACAAACCCAGTCCACCACCTAAACCTAAATCTTCAAGCTGGGCAGCCCTTCTTGGCAACAAGAAGAGTCCTAGTAGCTCTAATAAAATTACATGTAAGTATGTTAAGAGTAATGTTAAATAAGTGTCATTGGTAGAGATACCTTGTGACGTCCAGAGTAATTTGATATTATTTTTCACTTTGACATCTGGACAATACCTTTGGTTATCAGCTTTGAACTTTTAGTACGATGATGCAGTGAAGATCCTTATTGTTATAGGGTCCTGTCACAGATTTTGGAATCATGTTCTTAGATAAACTGGTTGAAGATAATTTATTCAAACTTGTTATTTACATATCCTAGAATAATAAGCAGATGATGTCAGGTACTTATTGAATATAGTTCAGGCATATTGATGCATGAAATAAATTTTATTGAAACCTGTTAAAATAAATATTTTAACATTAATATTTCCATGATTCACTGCATAGGCCTTACAGAAACCATAGTTTGTTTTTATCATCAAATTTATGTGGGTTATTTTTGCTTTAATTTGTTCTCTTTTGTTTTCATTCACATGTATGACTCATAAATTGCAGAATGACACTGAGATGGACATTAATAGTATAATAAAAGGGGCATTATGGTTTAATAAAAGGTGTCACGTGAATGGTCCCAAATTTTTCTTCAATTTTTTTTTTTTATCTTGGAACACTAAAATCAAGTACTGTATCTCCAAATTAATTAAAAATGCCACCAACACATGTCAAAAACACCACACTACAATTTTTATTATATCAAACCTTAACCTACGTTCCCTAGAAATTATTCACTGAATGTGGTTTGGTTTGGTTTGCAAATCTCTGGACTCTGGTGAAGGGAAAATATGTCAATAACAGTATGAAAATGCCACAGAAAAATAGACCAGCCAATTGCCAAGGAAGGCTGACCATAGGCAAGGTTACAATAAAAACTATCATAATCATCTAGAGGTAATCTACAGGTCTGTTACAATGTAGTAGTAGGCATCCATCAGTCTCAGGAGACTATGGAGTTGCGCTCTGATGTTGTCCTGGTCTGGAGTGGCCTCACCAGGGCGCAAAGCCAGGGTAGGTTGATTTGGGGGAGAAGCTGTTACCCAGGCAGCAGGTCCCCCCTCTCCACGGCGCTGAAAGTCTCCAATGGAAAGGCATACGCCAATACGATTGGAGACAATGTATTAAATGACATAATATGTCTTTATTATGTCATGGGATAGACATTACTCAGCATGAAAATGTTTTTCTAGGTACATGGACAGAGATTGCATATTGCACCATTTACTCTTTATTTCCTTGATTTGACAACTATTTCATTATGCTGCTAGGCTTTCTCATACACCTAGTACAGAATACTAATTTTGTAGAGAAGCATGTCTTTTTCTGTAAATTGGCATACATAGAGAGAGAGAACAATTTTAATATGAAGTGTTTTAAGTATGTGTGATGTGGTAATGGACATTGATGTTTGTTTTTCCATGTTTTATTAGGAGATTGTCTCGGTTATGTGTGAGGTCATATATTGGTGAAATATTTAACCCTTTTATGAGGAGTTCATTGATTGCATACCTTTATTTAGTGTTATAAATTTCATTTGCATATTGCATTGCATGGGTCTTAATTATTTTGACCTGTATATTTCTTCTGTAGGAAAACATTTTGATGACATTACATACATAATTTTTGTTTTTCATAGGGCAAGGAATTGCTCCTGTTCAGAATGTTTCTCTAGATTTTAATTAGATTTATTTACTTCTTTAGCCAAACAGGAAACATCACTTAACCGGAGTGAAGTAAAAAAGAACGATGCTCCTGTTAAGCCAAGCACTGTTAAAATCACCCAGGTCTTCGAATTTGCTGGAGAAGAAGTAAGGTTAGCATTGATTTTTTTGGGAAATTAAGGCAACATTGTATTGTTTTGCTTCTCTTGTTAAGTTTACCTTTAATATTTGTTTCTGAAAATAAATGTATTGTATTTTAATACACTAATTGTGTAATTAGATTTCAGAACTGTGAATAATTTTGAAAAATATTTTAAATGTTAAAAATGAGGGGAAGCTCTTTGCAAGAATACCTTGAACAATAATAATGCACACATACACACAACAGAAAACATTTCTTTGAAAAAGAAATTTACAACTTGCTCATATGTTCAGTCCTGGGTCATGCAAAGTACAAGCAGTAAGTACAAGACATGCAAAGTACAAGCAGTATGAGCACTCAGTGTGAATATGGAGAAAAACCTTAGATACTGGTAAGATTCCAGAGGCACATAAATCAGCAGATATAACCCCACTTGACAATGGAGGTAACAAAGTAATTGCTAAAAACTACTCTATAGGCCAGTCACACTGACATTGCACATATAAAGATCTATGAAACGGTGATTAGAAGCCAAATCTCTAGTTTGATAGCGAGATGTGCACTATACTACCTAGGACAACACACATTTAGAGCAGAAAGATTCTACCCTTTTCAAATACTCAACCTCTATGACAAATAGGAAAGAATTGCAAAAAAACTAAAAGCAGATGCTGTATTCATAAACATTAGAAGGGCATTTGATAAATGTGACCATGGAGTAATAGTAAAGACAGAAAAATTAAATTAAATTATAATTATAAATACTGTATAAATTATAAACCACCCTTAATATCATCCTTTGTAGACGACATAATCGGCAAGAATATTGTCTCGGTAGTAGACTGAAAACTACTGTACAAACAAATATCAGTAATGTTTTCCAATGTTCTATGGAAATTTACATAATATTCAAGGGATAAATTTTCAGCTATTTAGATATAAACTTTAACTGGGTATATGATACAAAATGCAATCAGATCTCCTCATAGAATGGAAATGACATGGTCAGGATTTAGGAATAATGATATTGGATGACATAACATTTAGTGAGTATAAGTCAACATAGCATCAACCAGGAAATTTATAGGCTGGAGTACGAGACTCTTCATATCCAGGGATTGCCACCACAGTTCTCCTTTTCAAATAATTTGTGCTTTCCTTCCTTAAATGCTGGTCTATATTCATCCCTTTCAAGGCAGGAGAAATTATTTAAATAAAAGGGATAAAACTCAATGTCACTACTTATAAAATGAAAGCCAGCCATACCATTTCTTTACAAAATTTGCCTTATTGACTTTCCTCACTCTAAACATTATTTCAGTTAAGATTTTTTATTGACCCCATAAAGACGGTATTTAAGGTGATATTGGCGAGTATTCAGAAATCTTTACTCTCGATACAGTCTTTTTCAAACCAGGCCTATTCACGTTTTCAATCTTAATGTAGCTGTAATGTTGTTTTAATGGAAATGCATCACTATATGTAGGAATGATGTAAAAAATGAGGACACCCAATTGTCATTTGTTTTTCAGATTTGCATATTTATATTGGAAAAATAAGGATGTAAATTCAATTTAAGGGATATAAATCAAAAAGTGGTTGTAAAAAGTAATTGGACAAAAATCAAAAGATGCAAATTGAAAGGAATATGAAGGAAGACAGTTTTGTTGATGATTGACTTCTGTGAACTATCTTTACTCCTCATTGCATTGACTTGAGGCTTATTTACTATCTCCCCACCTCTATCACATGGAACTACAAGGTTTTTATACCACTACTAGGCAATGGGATTATCAGTTGGCTACATATCACAAATTCCACATGAAGTTCACTTTAATAGAGGTGGGGAGATTGTTTGGGGTTCATTTCCCTAAATTCCTCCCCAAGAATGGCAGAATCATAAGCCGACTTTGCATGACCCATGCCCATGATACAGTGGGAGCTTACTGTAAGAAGCAATTGGAATAGTTCTGCTCAGAAATGTAACCAATCTCAATACCTTCTCCATCAATGCACTCTACCTCTTGCCATGCAGTTTTTTTTATGCTACTAACACAACATAGGCTTCTTAGGTTGTTTATTTATGCTGTCTTAATTCTTGATTTTCCCATGCATCTGCCAGGTGGAGCTTGATAAAAGCCTAGTATATAGAATATATATACAAACTTCCTGTCACAAAAGGAATTATGTAAAAATGCACAAATGTGTTCTATCATCTGCTGTAAAATTACCCCCAAAATAGTTAAACATAGCAAATTTATAAGTAACAGAATTTGAGTTTCAGTGAAAGAGTGCAGTATAAATGTCCTTTTGAATGGGAGTACACTACTATTTATTTTGTGTTTGTATTGTAAGATATGCACTCACATGGGACCCTGAATACATTTCTTGGTCACCTTATTGTGCTTGAAAAATGCCAAATTTTCATTGTTCTCAATCTTGCAGAGTAGAAAAAGAAGTAGATGCTGATTCAGCAGAGGCAAAAGCAGCTCTTACTTCTCTCAAGTCCGGTGCAGCAAATGACAGTAAATCTACTGTTCCAGGTTGGTTCAGTTAATTTATTACACTAAAATGTAGTGACTGTATCAATATGATCCAGGAGGGATGTTTGAAAATATTTTATTGAATTAATGCAGCATTAACTGTTCTGATCCTGAAGAATTATACCTTCAGTTCATTTGCTTTAGAGAGCAGTCAAGAATTTTGCTAGGAAAGGAACTCCTTATATTTACTCAAAGCCTAATTGTTTTTGTGTTGGGGTTTAAACATTAGGCCGGGTACTGGAATTGTTTAGATTATGCAGTAACATGTTTTTCCCCAGAACACAACCATCCAGTGGTTTTATATCCAGGTTCCCAATTAATGCTGGTTGCACAAATGTAAATGGAGTACAGGAATAGTACCCAGTCATCCCAGGATTAAAACCCATGGCCTCACATGCGAGGTGAGTGTGTTAACCACTTCATCAGTGAATTGTATGGAAGGAAGTGAGTGATAAGGAGGAGGAAGCGAGTAATTACCAAAAAAAAGGCACCAAGAAGGGAAGACTATGTAGTGTGAAGGGAACGGAGTAAAGGGGAAGAAGAGTGGAGTCAGTTGAGCAAGAAGAATGCATATACAGTGGAACCTCTGGATACGAACGTTCCCCTTTACGAATTTTTCGGAGTTGCGAACGCAATTTCGTCGGAAAATTCTAATCGGGTTACGACCTTTGCTTTGCCTTGCGACTTTGTTGATACTGGTATGTATCAACCACCACAAGCAGGTGGTTCTTAGTGGCATGGGCGAGGCGGGCCTCAGTTTACCAGTGACTCACGCTTAGTGATGATCGCACTTAAATTCTTTGTAAAGAATTTCATTGCTTTTCTGCTTTTTGTTTTTTAAAAATACGTAAAAGTAATTACTGTATTATATATTACGCCATGGGGTCTGAAGAAAGTCACTGGTAAGGTTCAACCTAAGGAAATAGTTGCGAGTAGAGGCAGTAGAGGATGTCCCTTCCTCATTAAGAAAATGTGTGAAGTATGGGAAGAACTGCAAAGTTTTGTTGAAAAAAACTCGCCCAGATAAAGCTGTAGCAGGCCGTTGCATTGACCTTTTTAATGACAATGTGACGTCTTGAAAATATAGGGAAAACAAGTATCTTTAGACAGATTCTTAGCCAAGCAAGCAGTGAGCCACAACCAGGTCCTAATAGTATGCCTACAAAATGTAGGAGAGAGAGTACCCCAGAGAAGTCATCGCTGCCTGATGTTATAATGGAAGGGGACTCCTCTTCCAAACACTAACACCTCTCCTCCTCCCCCCTTCCTCACCGTTTTCCATACGCCAACAAGAGTCATCAATAAAGGTAAGCTATAACTTGTACATACTACAGTATAGTACAAAATATTTGTGTATTATGTATGAAATGTATTTAGAAGTTAATATTTTGGGGAGTGTGGAACAGATTAATTTAATTTACGTTATTTCTGATGGGAAAATTTGTTTTGGGTTGCGAATTATCAGCTAACGACCCGTCTTTGGCAATGGATTAATTTTGAAAACCAAAGTACCACTATATATATAACCACATAAGACATATCTGATGCATGCTATTGAGTTATAGACAGTACACTTTGCAGGCTTAGGAGGAACAAAACGGCCGGGTGGTCTTTCTAGCGTTGTTGGTCTCCTCGACAATAAGAAGCAGAAACTCACCACTTTAGAAAAGACAAAACTGGACTGGAGTAGTTTCAAGTCTGAGGAAGGACTGAATGAGGAGCTTGAGAAACATAAGAAGAGCAAAGATGGGTAAGTTAACTCCTAAGCTGTTTGTACCTGGCATGCTAATTAACGCTTTCAACATTAACGTTTTCATCATAATTCTGTTTTAAAGTTTGTGGGTGGAATGGGCTTCAACAACCTCTTTCTTCGATGCAGTGAACTAAGGTCCTGGTAGTACAGTCGGGTTTGTTCTTGACACACAATCGAGAATTCTGGGTTCGAATCACGGGTGGAGCAGAAATGGTTGGGCACATTTCCTTTCACCAAATGCTATGTTCTCCAAGCAGTGACTAGGTAATCGGGAGTTAGCCAGCTTGTTGTGGGGTTACATCCTGTGTGGAGTCAGTAATTCGGCCTTGGGGGTGGTGGGGGTGGACCTCGATAAAAGCTTAACATATGAATACACTCTGGCTTCCTGTCCCCCGACACAATGAATTATTAATTATTGAATTACAGTACTGTATTTGACTTGCCGACCACCCGTACAGGGAATAAAAACTTCCTCACATCTGACTCGATTGTGTGTCCAGCTTCCACCAGTGTCCACATGTCCTATCACACTTTAATTTAAATAGACTTTGTTTATCCATTTTATGTATTCCCCTCAAGATCATGTATGTAGTTACATCCCCTCTGTTCTCGCTCTCATCTAAGGTTGTGAGGGTGAGTTCTCTGCACCTGTCCTTATAGCCATGGCCTCTCCATTCTGGTACTCATATAGTTACAAACCTCTGATTTTTTCTCAAGTTTCTGGTTATGCTTCACAAGGTGTGGACTCCATGCATATTCACTGAGTGTGAAATAACCTGGAAATGAGTGTAAACAGGACACAAGATTAGGTGGAATTGATTTGATAAAAGTACAGTAGTGAATATTTTGCATGCTTTAAATACAACTCGGAGGAAGTGCTTAGTCGTATGAAGTGGTAGGGTACTGCTAGGGAGGGTTTGCTGTAGTGTGAGTGATAAGACTACATTATGCAGTGTAATATGGAAAATTTGTTGAGGTGGTGGCCATCTGATGCAAAACATGCTAACTAATAACTTTATTTGATATTTATATATTATTCTAACTCAGTACATCTGAAAACCTTATTTTGCAGGTACTTGGATAAAAAAGCCTTCTTAGAGAGGGCTGATGTGAGGCAGTTTGAAATTGAGAGGGCAATGAGAATGAATAAGCGATCACACAGATGAGAAGTGTAAGTGTTATTCCTGTCTATTATTGCATATTTGCAGATAACTTAAAAGCTAATGTTATTTTTGGTTTCTTTTCCTCTGATCTGAAAATGATCTTTCACTCAGGTATAAATAAAACTATGTACAGTACTTATAAAGCAAAAAGGGAAAATAGAAAGAGGAAACGGCTCTTGGCTACAAAAATATCCAGGGAATAGTTTCACTCGTGAAATAAATTATCAATTTAGGGGTGTGTGTACGCACCTAATTGTACTCGCCTAATTGTGCTTGTGGGGGTTGAGCTCTGGCTCTTTGGTCCCGCCTCTCAACCGTCACTCAACAGGTGTACAGGTTCCTGAGCCTATTGGGCTCTATCATATCTACACTTCAAACTGTGTATGGAGTCAGCCTCCACCACATCACTTCGTAATGCATTCCATTTGTCAACCACTCTGACACTAAAAAAGTTCTTTCTAATATCTCTGTGGCTCATTTGGGCACTCAGTTTCCACCTGTGTCCCCTAATGTGTGTGTGTGTATATATATATTATTTTATTTATTTATTTATATATTTTTATTTATATATATATTTATTTATTTAAGTCATCAAAATGTCTTCTATCATTTATAAAGTTAGCTCTTCAGTGCTTACATAAATAATAAAGTAATGATTTCATTCTGTTTTGCAGGTAGAGTGTACCTTGAATAGTTGGATGTTGAAGCCTGAGTAATGGTTGCATTAATTGACACACCATTTGTCCTCAGCGATGTCCCCCTTTCATGATCAAAATTTAGAATTAGGGCGTTTTTTTTTATTTGATGTATGCAAAATCATGTAGGAGGAATATAAGTCGTCATCGTGGAGCTAAGTTATTTTTGTCTTAGCTTAATTCCAACTGGTTTTTGAATTTGATGAATTGTTAAAGTTAAACTAACTTTTTATTCAGCATTGTCTATTTATATAATAATTTGTTTAAGCATCTGCGATGCTTCAGTTTGAGATAACCTAAATTGGGAGTACTAAAAATAATTTTGTGGACATATATATACAGTATATATTTATATATGTATGTTGAATGTTGTTTTGGATAGTCAAACCATGATGGAAAGGTGTATTATATTTATTTTAGTATAAAGACATTGTATTAATGACAGGTTGTCTGTTATGTGATTTTATCATTCCTGCTTTAGTGGAACAAATGAATAAATGTTTTGTATTAAATGTAATTAACTGATGGCCTTCATTTTTTAATCCTGTTATATTAACACTTTCATGTTCTGATGATGCTAAAATGCAACATTTAATTGATATTCATAATCATTCTTATGTGCAATGCTGTCATGCATAATCTATTATAAATGCACTTATCTTTTTGCCATGATTCTCTAGAGAATTAATTTGCAAACATTTTAACGTTAAATTTATGGTTGTAATCTATTAACTTTGAAAATGTAAAATTATTATAAAAGTTTTTTCAATGCCAAGTGGCCCGAGAGTTGCCTGGGGGAAACCCAGGATTTATATGGTTGGGAAGGCAGAGAGAGGGGGAGGTTGAACCTCTCTAATAGCATTAGTACCTTTAGTTTTCATTTTAGGTAGTTAATCAAGTAATTCTATAAAAATTTCCCTTGGAAAGAATTGTCATAATTATTACTTTTTACTTTTATATAAAACGTCCACCATGGTATTTTTGCATTTCATTGACAAGATGTTAAGCACTTGACTTTTCACAAAATGTCAAATAAGTTTTTCAAATAAAACTGCTTTCACTTGAGTTAAGCAACTGTTGTGAGTTGCATCCTGGTGAACGTCAGTTATTGGTACAAGGAAAGACGATGGGAAATCATTGTTATACAGTATCCATAATTATACATTTTTACACTATAGCATCCAGTATGTGGCCTGTGCTATCTATAAAGAAGTGAGTAATTATCAAAAAGGTGCCAAGCCAGGAAGATTATAAAGAATTTAAGATTAGTAAATTTAATAAGGCATTTCTTTTAATGGTTCCCTAATAATACTATCCAAGTTATTTTGCTCCATGTTTTAAGGAGGAAACCTGTTCCTTGGACTGTTGTGCTTGATCTTTTAATATAGATTGAATTGTGAGACTCGAAGCCTTATTGGCTCGTACTCCTCGTCTAAACATTGTGGAAGAAGGCAACAAAAGCTGAAGAAACAGGGAATGTAACCTAACAAAGTAGAGCGGAGCATCACAACAGGTAAAGAATGTGCAGGACAGTGATTACAACACAGACTTCGATGATAGAAACAACAGTTGAGCTGTGAACTTGCACTCTCCAGTATAAGAGAACTTTGTTTCCAAAAAACTTGATCTCTTATTCAGTTACTGCATGGAAAGGCCAGATTGAGCAACTCAAACGAATTAGAAATGTACAAACCACTAACTCTTGATGTCACTGCTAAGCTGCTTGATCTACCATTCTATTGCTTCTGTAATGGGGCATAAAAACCCATCACTGACCAAAATCCCAACCCCAGTGGCAGCGACACTGCCAAAGAATTGGCAAATGTAAGCCTTAATTTGTACACTTGAGATTAATAAAAAAATTTGTTACACAGTTTGATCGTAATACAAATGTTATCTACGTTTATGCACATATTGTGAATATAGCGTATATTTACACAGTATTACAAAAATATCAATTGAAATTGAGTTGAATTGAAATAAGTTTATTGAGGTAAAATACACACAAAGGGATGAGGTAGCTCAAGCTAGTCTCACCCCGTTCAGTACATCGTGTTAATACATACATAATACACACATCACAAACAATAAACATATTACCAAACATTTTGAGAGATAAACATCTACATTTCCTAGTATCAATTGAGCTTATAGGAGTTTCGAAAATGCTTAATATAAGCAAGAGCTGAAGCCAACATCTCTCTCTTATGGGCTCACCATAGCCCGTGCTACATGGACATGTCCATGCTACAAGGGCATATCGTGACGAGTAGCCACATCTAAAACAAGAACAAGAACAGGAGCCAACATCTCGGGAGGGTTGGTGGTCCTGGCTGGCAGGGTGGACGCGGCTTGTCTTCTCTGGACCACACTGCTATAATGGGCACAGTTGCGTATTTTGAACAAATTTGCAGACTTTGTGGCCTAGAAAGCAATGATCTTATTAATTTGTTTGAAAACGCTTACAGCGAGCGCAATTTGACGACGATCTTGAAGAAATATATTCGAGTTACGGTGAGTCAATATTTTGCCACCACCCTGTATCCTGTCGGACCAAAACAACAATGGTTTGCATCGGTAGTTTACCCGAGGTGTCGGCGGGTTTACGTCGCTAGTTTACCCGAGGGACGACCTGGGCGACAGTGCACGTGTGGGCACCTGCTCCACAGGAAGGCCGCCGACTAACGGTATACAATTGCCCGGTATTGTGGCCGAAACACTGGTGGCTTTACAAGAATGTCAACACATCATGCTATGTCCTCTCATAAAAACTGTAACTTCTTGTATATATTAATAAATAAATAAAACAATTAAAAAAAAAGTCTTGCAATTGAAATTGAAATAAGTTTATTGAGGTTAAAATACACACAAAGGGATGAGGTAGCTCAAGCTATTCTCACCCCGTTCAGTACAACGTGTTAATACATACATAGACACACATCACAAGCAATAAACATATTACCAAACATTCTGAGAGATAAACATATACATTTCCTCATTGTTTGTGTGTGAGAGGTGGTTCCTGTGACCTTCCCTGGGGACTCCTACTGTTATTGGACGCCGCTTAACTGACAATGTCTCTTCAACGCAGGCTGAACTCCAAGGAGTATTAACAGGATTACAGGAAGTAGTCAAATGTGGAAAAAATGCTTGCTTCTTTATTGACAGCAGAGGAGCGTTAGAGTCTTTAAATAGCAGACGCCCAGTATATCAGAATATTGTGATAGAGTGTAGAGAGAATGTTAAGAGACTAGAAAAAACTGGGTATAAAGTAAGATTCATGTGGATCCCTTCACATGTGGGAATACTGTTGAATGAGGTAGTTGATGACATAGCGAAGAGAGCCACTGAAAAAACTCTTGTTGATGTTGTATGTCAGTTAACCTTGAAACAAATAAAAACAAGACTCAAGGTGATTCAGGAGGGTGAAGAAATGATAAAGAGAATGGCAATGGTGGACAGTAGTAACACACTTAAGAATTATTCAATAATAAATACAAATTCGTCCTTCACTTATGGTAAAGGAAAGTCTACTTGGAAGGATTTGTGTCACCCTGCACCTGTCCTCCAGTACATTTATCTCCTGTAAGGCACAGCAGTCTTTTTCCTTCCCTGCTGATTGGGGACATATAAATCTTTGGGCTTAAGAGTTTTCCCTGGCACACAGGGACAATAGGGTACATGTGGGCCTGTGCTGCCCCTGCCAGTAGTTTTTTTCCTGCATTAATCCTCAGGTATTCTATTTAATTGAAAGTTGGAATTACAGTACTCTATACAGTACTTGGTACAGTATGAAGTTTCATCCAAAGTCATCGGTTGTCTTTTGTATTTTCCAGGTTAATCCTCGGGATGCATTACCACATCAAGTGTGCGGGCCTTGTGTGGCCAAGTTGGATGAAGTTGTGGAATTTATGGATATCAGTCAGGCCACACAAAATAAACTTAAAACTCAACTAAAAGGTGTGTATTTAATGAACTAGCCCAGATGTTTGCTATTTGTGGGCCAAAGAGGAGGACAAGGGAAGAAAGTTGCACCAAAAACTAAAAATATAATTTTCTTTCCATTAGCTTGAGCTGGTCAGTAAAGAGATGGCCTTGCTTCTTGCAAAGTTATGGTTTGAAAACCTGATTATTCAAGGGGTTGGCAAATGTTCCTTCAGTGAATATGTAGGAAATGTATTTTCATGTTACAGTATTAGAATTTACAATTAATAATTGAGAGAGAGGGAGGAGGGCATGATCATAGATTTTGAGTTTTAAACTTTGAAAGCCATTGCATTACTATACCCAATACCTATATAGATGCACAAATAATGTTAATATTTTAGAAAATAGAGTACAGTACTGTATTAAAGTAATTGTTCATCTGCAGAGAGTTCTTCAGGCAACAGTCTTCAGATACCCGAGGAGCATCTATATGAGCTTATCCAGGATGTTAAAGTTGAGCTTGAAGAGACTGACTCTCAGTTCATTGATAATGTCAATGATGAGGATTTTGGTTAGTAAAAGCTGTGAATTTCAGTATCACACTAGCTAGGCTACAATGTAGACTGTCAGGCCCTTAATCAACCCTCTCAAAGTGTACAAGAAAGGAGCAAATAATACCGCATGAAAATATACATAACATTTATTGTGTATAATCATTATAACATTCTATCGTGCAAGTGCTCCTCATGGAGAGGATAGCATCTATAAAGTAACATCCATATAAATACACAACTGGAGTCATCTGCTGCTACTCACAGGCTGCCTTGATGGCCTTACTTCCATTGTGGGTTACACTATTGTTACATCAATTTCCACAGACTAGGATATAGTCTTACTGGCTCCTACAATATCATGTTATTCTCAATAAAGTTATATAAATCATGCACATTTGTATGTACAATATAGTTATGTTGTCATCAATAAAAGAAATAATGATAAACTGCCTAGGATCACAAGCATTGGTCCTTCCAATGACCTGGTTTAATAATAATGTCTGCTGCTAGGCAACACCTTTATGCTGCCTTGAACTAATGCTCTAGTTCTGTCATTAGTTAAACACTGCTTACAACTGACACTATTGTTCCCTTACCTGTTCGTTTATATATAGTACATGCTGCTGAAGTGTGTAGCTCTTGAGGTCGATTAAACAACTGTTAAAGGACATTCAGCAGTAGTAGGGCTCCCTCACTGTCTATACTGTCATAGAATCACACTACTGATCTTATCCTTGGAAACTCCCAGCTGTAACCAGCGACTTCACAGGAATCGTGCAACCTTTCCCGGTGCACATTTGAAGATTAGACCATCTTAAATAACTGTGAGTGTCCTCCTTTGCTCTCGCACTAGAAAATCTTGTCATCCACTCGTTGGACACACAGTGGGGTTTAGCATCCACGGCTATTGTTGCTAGTGTGGCACCCCGCCCCCCCCCCCCCTCCTATATCACCACCCATTCTTCTCTTGGGTTGGTCCAACTGACACTTCATCATTTTGGTGAAACAAGACTGGCAGGTACAGAGCTCAGAATAACAGAATGCTGCGTTGAAGGATTCTTGTGGGTGAGTGACATGCTGAGCCAATCTTGGCTCCTCTTTGCAAGACATCTTGAATTTGCTTCACTGATTGGTTACCATATACAGCATCTTTAGTGGTTATCATGACAATAGTATGTACCTTACTTTTGGGAGGTTCTAACATCACCTGCCATTGGTGTGCCATTGCATCCTGATTTCTTCCTGACCCTTATGACACTTAAAAACTTTCTGCAACACTAAAATTTTAGTCACCTTGACCCCATCTATGTTCATCTAGGTTTGTTATGACAGCATGAACAGATAAATGAGCATAAGAAGGGTACTAGAGTGATGACTCGTTATGGCTGGGGTCATATGCTAGGTTGTGGGTGGAATCATGACACAATTTAGCCCCCAATTAATGGCCAATTGCTTCAATCAGGTTGGACTTCAGCTGTTCTTGCAGGAGCTGAACATTGCTTAAGGGAGAAATTGAACTGGCTACTTAGAATAGGAACTTTTAATGAACACAACATTATTTTTTGTATTTTGCAAATATTATTTGATAGCCTGATTCTAGCATTGTTTGAAATATGGAAGGAATTAAAAATAATGGATTTCTTGTATTTTTTCAATCAGGTGCACGTACTAGCAAGGGTCGAACTAGTCGAACAAAAAGTGTGCGGGGGCGTATGGTAACTACCAAAGGTATAGTATATATTTTGTTTACATAAGAGTAAATAATTTAATTAGCTGTTTTTTTCTTCCATTTCAAAAGCTTTCTCCCATCTGTTTTCTGGTCTAGCACCCAGCAGCTTCCCTTTGGACATGTCACCAGGTCATGACATCATGACATTACTGTATTGATATGCCAAGCTCCTGAGACTGTCAGCCCACTAGGAATATGTACCTTTTCTAACAGACTTGTCATCAATATGTGGTGGGGAGTTTGCAGGTTCTCAAGATTAACCTGCTAATGAGGTGAACCATATGCAATTTTTTTTGTAAGAACTTTAAACATTGAACCTCCCACTGCTACCAGGTGGCAACCCAAGCCATATGTCTGGCACTTCTCTAAATACAATTTGATGATTCATGTGGAGATCTTATATCTGACTCAAATTAAGTGACCTGGTTATCTTTTGGAAATGGGTACTTGCTGTGTTGTGTGGAGTGGAAAATCTGCAGCTTTTGCTATGCATTGCATGTGAGAGAGAAGATTTTTATGTTCTCGCATCTGAGGGCTCCTCTTGTAGTATAGGTTATTGTAAACAAAAAGTTTTGCATGGAATGGGGGGGACTTTTTTTTCAGAGACCTTGCTGCCTATTTTTCCTGATTTTTATTTTATCTACTCAGGACTTGCTGGAAAATGGTTAGCAAAATCAAAAAGCAAGCCATCACTACGTGTACCTGATATAATAACGGTAACTGATGGCAATGGTGGAGATAACCAAGAAAAAGCATCAGGTGAAAATTTGAAGAAGGAAGGAATGGTAAGGGATTATTAGCATTTTCATTATTAGATATCTTTGTAGGAATACCATATAGTTTGTTATAATTTATATCATAATGCAATGCAAAATTTGTATTTTGCATTGTGTGAGAGAGAACTAGAGAATGATTTCATGTACCTGCTTGAAACTTTTAAAACTTGCATATAATGGTACATGGAATATCCCTGTTGTTACTGGGGCCATGTAGCCCCCTGGTGCTAGAATTAGGAGCCTTTTGAAAATTACTTTTGGATGGGGAAGAAGTGGAGAGGGAAGGGAGGGAGGGAGGGAGGGCAAACTTTGTGATCTTGCACACATTAATGCTAGGGGATAATTCTGTAGTCGGTTGCAGGTAATAGTAAAGGATACAATGTTGAGAACATATTATAACAATGGATAGCCCTAGCTGACTGTTTTGATGAATGGACAGCTAAAGTAGGGGTCCAGAATGATGAGTACAAAATAGTCAATTCAACTTAATTAAAAATAATGTACAATACATTACAGTACAGTATATTTGTGTTAGATTTGTGAGCAAAGGTTGCTCACCCAGCAATAAAGGAGGACACTTACATAAGCCACACTCAGACTTTCAGTCCTTATGACAAACCCTTAAAATATTTAATATGTATATAATGATTAAGTAAAAATATAAGCACAGCATAGGCACTGCTAACTAAGTGGACTTATTCTACCTTAGCCTAATTTAGTTTTTTTTACTATTGTGACAGCTACTTTAAAAGTAAAGCCTTTTGACATAATTACTCTCAAATCTTCAATACTACTTTTTCTTTCTATCATGTCATTTGACCGAGTTTTTAACTACTGTATATGTTTTATTCAGCAGGGAAACACAATTAGGAGTGCAGTAAGGTGCTGTGTATGTAAGGCCACATTTAATCATCTTGAGGATCTAGCTTCTCACTCTCTTGATGTCCACCAGCTTCCAGAACCTCACTATATGTGCCCCCAGTGTCCTCGAACATTTCCTAAAATTACTTCAATGAACAATCACCAGCGAAGAAAACATCAAGACTCTTTACAGGAGTAGGTTCTATTTAAATTGAATAAATGAATTTGGTTTCTGATAATTTTTGCATATAAATGCTGTAGGGTTATTCTTTTATTAATTTAAGTTGATAATTTATGAATGGTAATCAATTTTCTTGTAATAAATTTACTTGAGATTTTAATGATAAGGTACAGTACACTCTTATCTCTCAATTGATCTGGCAAGGTCAGTTTGTATGCACCTTATTTGGCAGTCTTTATGCTCTTCTACTATTCCACACTACATATTTTGTTGCTCCCAGAGGTCATATTGAGTGGATGTGCACTGACCAGATCATCTGACTGGCAGGAAAAATATATAATTCCCATTGTTGGGAACAGGAGCCTGTACTTGGCTTATCGAACACTCTTCCTTTCCCCTTAGACCAATTACAGATCTGCCCTGGTAGTGCCCTGGGATGCAATCCATTGCCCACAATGGTTGCATAACTCCTGGTTACCTATTTACTGCCAGGTGTAAGGAAATGTGCCCAACCATTTCTGTCCCACCCAGGGATCACACCTGGGGATCTTTGATTGAGAGTCGAGGTCGTAGATTATTGTAGGCACCTTTAGGTCCATATCTGCTTTGCAGTCATAGGACAGTGATAATTTTCAGAAGGGATGAGATACTCTAAAGGGTCTGTACTTAGCTGAAAGTATGAGTGCCACTTGTGATGTCATGGAAGTGCCTTCCAGTGGTGTACACATAATAGCCCTAATGGCCACTCATTCAAGCTTTTGTGCAAGACCACCACTACCAGAACTCGAGTACTTCCATGGTTGCTACTTGATCTCTCTTTCACTGTTAAGTTTCTGGGATCTGATGGAAGTTTTGAAGTTTTGTATGCTCCCTGGTCCTTCTTCCTCTCTGAAGAAGGGTCACAGGGTTTTGGGGCTGCTGGAGGAGGGTTTGTAGTTATCCTCTGACCCGCTTTAGAGTTTTTTCTGGGGGGAGCCCCGTCGGCTCCCCGGAGCTTTACCGGCTGATATGCTAATGTCAGACTTTGGCATCAGTCATGTGTATGGAGTTCTAGGGCCTACCGGGGACCACGAGCCAGAACCTGGCCCCCTCAGAGAGGCAAGGGGAGCAATGGCCTATAGAAACCCCCGTGTGGTTGGAAGCATTCTATGTCTGCCATCGACCGGGTCAAGCATCCAGAAAGGTAAGCATTCCAAAACAAACCCCTATTCTGGTGAAAATTGCTACCTAAGCCGAACTAGTGAATAGAACTCTTCAACAGAAAACACGGAAACTAGTATGACGTCATACGTCACCGCGCCGCTGTCTGCGCAGCTCCCCCTCCCCGGGAGGGGGAAGGGGGAGCCCCAGACCTCCCACGCCGGCTATCCACCCATCAGTTCTTCGGCTGATGCTATAGGCAATGGTTATGTGCTCCGGCTCCAGTGGTTGTTTCAGCACTGTACCTAGAGTGTGGTGTCTGTTTTCTAGGTGGTGCGTGAGCCGGGTGTGATTCTTCAGTACTCGGGCTGCATGCGCCTAGGGTTCCCTTCCCTAGGTGCCCTGTAAGTACTGCCCTTGGGGCTTGGGGCCACCTTCCACAAGTTCCTTGGGTCCTGCCCCTGCTTGGCCGTTTACCGCTTGGTTTTCGGCCGCTCTTTGTGTGCTCGGGTGTTCTGTCTCCCTTGTTCGCCTTAGAGTAAGGGGCAGTGTTTGCACTGGTGGGGCGCGGGGTACTGTGCAGCTTGTCTTTACCAATCATAGCGGCCGGCTCTGTTCCGCTTGGGTACGCTGTCCTCTTGCGGGGTTTTCTTTTTCTTTTGTTTATATACCTGGTGGGGGGGTCTGCCTTCGTTCTTGCCCCTTGTGTCCCTTGTGTTCTGAGTATTTCTGGTGGTACCCCCTGCTAGGTCCCCGTGAGTGTACACGTCCCGGGGGTTCAGCTCTTAGAAAGTTGTTTGGTAGCTTGGGTGCCGGTTAGCAGTACCCTGCCTGGGATTACCTGAGCGCGAGTCCTCTTAAAGTAAACGCTCGGGACCCTGGGAAACCCCTGGGGGCGCGCGGGTCCGATGGATGTGACCCCAGAGCCCCCCCCTCGCTTCCAGCGAGTTTGAGGGTTGCTCTCACCTTTTGTCTCTGGGTGACTCTCTGTTTTGCCTCCGTCTGCTGCCTGTGGGGTCGGTGACACCTTCGACCCGGTGTCCTGCGAGTTTGGTTGCTCGTTGTGGCTCGGTTACCCAGTTGTGCTAACAAAGCGGGTGCGGGCAGCAGGGGCGTTGCACTTGAGCCTTGGTGGTGGCAACGTTCTCGTGGTTTCCTCCCCGGGAGCCCCGGGGCTGCCCCGTTGTATTTCGTTTTTCCCCTGGTTCACCCTTCCTGCCTGCATCCGGTTCCTTACCGTCTGTAGGTTCAGGGCGGGGTGTTTGGTGGTGTTGAGACTCGGGCAGTCTCGGGGAATTCCCCTTCCGGGGTAGTGACGGGGGCATTTGGGCCTGTTCCTCCAGCCGTGTTGTATGAGTCTGCCAGTGGGCTCCCTTCCTTAGTGTTTTCACGGCTGCCCCGGTTTTCTGGTACGGCCGGGGCTTTGGGGGAACGGCTCGGCCCCGGGGCCTGTCGTGTAGGTTCCCGGGGCTGGGGAGGGGCTGACTTGGGGGGCCTTGGCCCCGTTAGACCCCGTGGGGGGTTTTATCCCCCTCTAGGCGGGGCTTGTGGTTACGCGGAGTGGGGTTTTTCCTCCCCACTCGCCGTACGTGCTGTTGGACGTCGGCCCCTCCCCGGGCTCGGTTCCTTGGCCTTTGAGTCGGTTGGTTCCGTCCTGTGGGTGGATGTTTCCTCCCCCGCTTTTTGGGACGGTGTTTTTGTCATGTTTCCCCGTTCGATGGGGTTCTGCGTGACTTTTGATCTCGGGTGCGCCTGCGCCTTCGTGTGCCTTCGGGACTAGTGTTGGCTTCTGTGTTCTCGAGGGTACGGGAAGGTTTTTCGCTACTTCCCGCATTATTGGAACGTCTGTCGGCTCCTAGTACTTGTCGCCCTGTTGGGCTACTTGTCGCCCTGTTGGGCTACTTGTCGCCCTGTTGGGCTACTTGTCGCCCTGTTGGGCTACTTGTCGCCCTGTTGGGCTACTTGTCGCCCGGTTGGGCTACTTGTCGCCCGGTTGGGCTACTTGTCGGCCGTTTGGGCTACTTGTCGCCCGTTTGGGCTACTTGTCGCCCGTTTGGGTTCCCTTTTTTTTGGGCTCTTTGCTTCTTTGGCCGGTTTTCTTGTTCCTGCTTCCTCTTTTGGCTCTTTTTCTCGTGCAATAGTCCTGGCTGGCGCCTTCCCGCAGGGAGGGTGTGCGGTTCGGCCAGCGTGTTATGCGCATGCGCCGTGGAGTTTGTTTTGGTCTGGGCGATGGTTCAGTGCTGGGGTTTTGCGCCCTTTTTTGCTACAGTGCTTCGCCTCTCGTTCTTCTCCCTGGCTGCGGTATGTGCCCCTTTGCGCCAGGGGTGTCCTGGTTCCCAGTTGTGGGGAGGACACCGCGGTTTTCTGTGTCATGGGTGTGGACCGCCTCCTTCGCCTCTCCCTGTTCTCCTGCGGGTCCGGCTCTGGCGTCTTCACCTGGCGGTGCTCCCAAGTTCTTCTGGGCACGGTTGAGTCGTGTCAAGTTCGAGCCACCATTCGCCAGGTGAGTTTCTGCGGTCTGGCGTCTTTTGGCCGGGCGCTGGATGCGGCGGTGTTCATATACCTGTCTTTATTTAGGTATAATTTTGTACGACTGAGACCGTTCGCACACCAGTGACTGTCCCTTTATCACCCCTTCCTGTCCCCCTCCTGTGCATGTCCAACCCATGCTACAGTCGTTCAGGGGACCCTCCTTTTTTAATGTTGTGAGGTGTGGGGGTTGTAGGGTTGGTTCTGTACTCACCTGGTGAGGCTCCTGGCTGTGCTTGCAGGATTTGAGCTCTGGCTCTTGGGTCCCGCCTATCTGGTAGAACTTGCGGGATAGTACCAGTGGAGTGCAGTGGTGCTATTGGCACTTTTGGGGAACACTGTATTACCATCAGTGGTCTGTGCTTGTTACACGACCTACTTGCGAGCATAAGCCTTCTTGCTGGTTCGTCCGTGGACTTCCAGGGCGCACTGGCCTGTTTTCGTATGGCAGTTCCGGCCCGTCCTGGTTGTGGGGGTATGTGGGCCGGTGGACTGCTCCTAGCAGCTGCCTGGTGGGCCATCCTCTGGCCGGTCTGGCCTGACCTTGGGCCGGGCTTGAGGTGTAAAAGAGCTCCCAGTACCTCATCCAGCAGGTATCGAGCGGGGTTTCTCCGCCGTCGGTCGCCTGGTGCAGGTTTCTGGGCCTGCAGGGTTTTGTCGTGTCTCCGTTGGCCCTGTCTGGGGTCTGCCTGCTCCGTTCTCTGCCTTTGCAGAGGGGAGTTGCTATTTACATGTTGCATGTTGCAGTGGTGCCTGTTGCTGCTGCTGCTGCACGTGAGCATTGGTACCGTGTTTCACGGTGGCGTGTCCTTGTTCCTGTGTCCGGTTGTGGAGTGGCGCTTTGCTGCCGTTTTGTGCCTGGGGATTGCGTGGGGTTTTTGTCCCTGCCTGATTGTCCACCCCTGGTTGTTCTCCTGTTTTTTTTTTTTTTTGTGCTTCTGCTCTTTCTTCCTGCCTCTTCTGCAGCAGGAATGTTCTGCGTGTGTTCTTAGGCGTTGGTCAGCCTGTGTCCTGTGATGTGCTTCTTTGTTTCGGTCTGTTGCGGTTGTTCGGGCCCCTTGGTTCGGGTCCTGTTCTGGCGGCGACCCTTCCGCCTTCTTTGGTTTTCCTAGCTTGCCCTGCCGGTTGTTGTTGTTGTTTTATTTTTTTGGGGGGGTTCTTGCGATGTCTCGCGTCGGACCCGTCGTTTCTGAACTCCTGGCGGGCTTGCATGCTTCGGAGTTTTTCTGTTCGGCAGACGTTCCATCTCCTTGTGCCGCCTGGGTTTCGGTGGTCGCGCCCGAGATCTTCTCGCGGCTCCGCCTTTTTCCTGGGCTCGGGGGGGCCTTGTCGGGGCTGCTTATGT